CACCTTGATCATTGATGATGTACATGTGTGTGAACTAAGGTGTCGTTAAAATATGGGGGAGCATATGGGGAAAACACACCCACCGCCCCCCACCAAGCCTTAAGTGTCTAAAGTGGAGTTAAAATAGAGGGGAAGGGAGCCGCACCGTCCAGTTGTGGGCTGCCAAAGCAGCCGACCCAGGACCTACACAGCTCCCCTCGCCCGACGATCGTCGGGTCGGCCTCTTCCCTTCTTCCCCGTCGTTTCTTTTTCTTTCACCGACCTGGACCGGAAGGTAGAGGCGGGGTTGCTTCTGACCAGGTGGGAGGCTGGAGTTGTTTCTCCCTTACCTGGTCGATGGGGAGTGTCAGCCTCACTGGGATAAGGGCGCTGGAGTCACTGACAAACAGGGCTGGAGTGAAGAGCAGGGCGGCGGCATCAGGCAGGGCCGCGGGCACCTCGGGTGTGCGGCCAGCAGGGGGTGCCTCGGCGGGCACCTCGGGCGTGCGGCCAGCAGGGGGCGCCACAGCGGGCGCCATCGACAGGTGGCCAGCAGGGGGCGCCACCGACACGTGGCCAGCAGGGGGCGCCGCGGACGTGGCGGTGTCCACGGGCAGTGCAGCGGTAGCAGGCAGGGCTGCGGGCAGAACGGCCTCAGGCGGAGCTGCAGCAGCGGGCGGAGGCGGGTCCGGAGCAGGCGCCTCAAGTGAAACCGCTGCAGCTGGCGGAAGGTCGGGCGCTTCCGCTAGTGCGTCCAGGTCCGGCGCTTCTCTACGCAGCTTGGTCCCTTTAAGGGTCCGCGGGACCCGAGGGATTGCGTCTCAAGCCGCCCTGGCTCCCCTGTCAGCCAGGCGTGCCGGCACGTAAGTATACGCCGCCAGAGGCGGCTCCTCGGTGATGGCGCCGGGGGCTTTGTGTGCTCGCGGGAGCATCGCAGCTGGGACATCGTCTGAGAGCGGGGATTCCCCCTGCTCACCCGCTAGGAGTGAAGCCAGTGAGAGAAGACACCGCCCCACGACGATCGTCGGGTCGGCCTCTTCCCTTCTTCCCCGTCGTTTCTTTTTCTTTCGCCGACCTGGACCGGAAAGGTAGAGGCGGGGTTGCTTCTGACCAGGTGGGAGGCTGGAGTTGTTTCTCCCTTACCTGGTCGATGAGCTGTCGCAGGAGGGAGCGCACTTCTGCCATTACGTGCGCTTCATTGGTTGGTGTGATCTCCTGTAGGAGATCCCAGCTCCTTTCGGCGAGGGAGCATAAACCGGGATCCCCGCGGATCTCCAGTAGCTCTCACCAGTACGCAGTCTCTTGCAGCAGGGCGAGCCAGAGGTCCTCCACCTGCTGCGATGCATCTTCGGAGAGATTTGTCATTATGTCACGTCCGTGCAGGCAGGCGAGCGGGGAAGCAGGCGAGTTGAGCCGGACTGACAGGTAAACGGGTTTATTGTCAACACAAGGGCAGACATCCACGAACTTTACGACAATACAATGACAAATCTGGGGGATAACGATTGAGACACGGACTAAATACACAAGACTAGGCAAAAGGAACAGGCAGCAGGTGAGTACAATCAGGGATTAACATGAGGTAATGAGGTGGGCGTGGCACACACGAGGATCGGACGGAGCTGGGCGTGACAGATATGGCTACATAAAATAAAAAGGTTTTGCAGTGATTTTCAAAAAATTTTCTTAGAACACAATAAGAAGTCCCATTATTAAAAGTTATGATTGTGCCTCTACATTCACTTCTTTTCACTGGTATTAAAATATTACAAAATGGTCTGAATCCAGGTAGAGCATAACCTGGATTAGCTGTATAATGTATAAATATTGTATTTATTGTATGCTGAAAAAAGTAAATATAGTTTTTCAAACCGGTTTGGCAGACTCCCTCAACTTGAGTATAAAAAGAGCAGAATGAACCTCACTATATTGTTTTTTGGCCTTCGATGCGACGACTGAATGTCAATGTGTTGAACATTTCAAAGAATAAGCGCAACAGTCACATTTCTGTCTTTATGAAAAAATGGAATTGAGCAACATGTGTGGAAAAGAGTTTTCAGAAAATTTCCTGTTTCTGATTATTGCTGTCTAGTATTTTAGACTTGTTTTTTGTTTGACTCTCCAGACACGTGATGCCAATAATCAGGGTCAGCGGGAACTGGCGGAGAGGAGCTCATGTACCGCATGGATTCTCAACAGCATTGGCCTGGCCATCGGCATTGCAGTCACCATTGCATGGATTGCCATTATAATTGTATATAGGATCTACAGATAAATAAAACTAAAGGCATATTAGAGAATAACAACAAAAACACAAACAAATAAAACCCTGGGTTTCTTTAAATCAGAGTCAGAAAAGATTTTAATAACTCTGAGCTATTAGTTGAGTTCTCCTGAAACAAGCTTGATGGGACGTATGGCCTCCTCTCATTTGTATGTAAAAAGCATGTCAAAGCCTTTTATACATTTTGCAAGTAACTTCTGCTGCTAAATGTGAAAAATACATTTTTTTAAACTAAAATTACTGATATTCATGTTACCACAATACCACCCATAGGTGCATATATTTCTGTAAATGAGGTTGATTTCCAAATAAATGCTTTTGAAGCTATTCATATAGATTTTTTAAACAAAGTTGCATTACGGTTAAAATCATCATCTTCACTGGCCCTATCGCTACTGTGATGTTCGAGCAAACATTTTCTTTATTTACCGATTGGGTATTACATATCGGTAATAGAACAGGCACTTTTACAGATTCATTTAAGTGTACTGAAGCTAGACCAATACTTAAGAAAGCTTCCATCATGGGCGTCGTTAGGCCTATTTAGGGTGGGCTTCAGCTCCCTCAAAATGATCCCAAGCCCCCCCAAAAAATATAGTAATTATCATACTATTTTAAAATTATATATCCATACATTTCATACAAGATATCACTGAGCGCAGGTACGCACTTAACAAATAAAAGCAAGACAACGAATTGAAATTAAAAATAATACTGTAAGTCTAGCTATCATTATTTAATTAAAATTATGTACTGGCTGTTTAAGCTGCTATGGGTAGAGGGCGGGCATTAGGACCCAGGCAGAAGCTTGTTAGCGAGTAGCAACGTTTATCCGCAATTCAACAGAAAGAAGCGGCCAGATAATTAAATTGTCAGAGATTGTGAGTAGGTGTCAATAACTGTTAATTGCTTAACTTTACTTATGTTTCCTTAAGTGAAAGGAAAGTGACCTTGTTGGCTATTTTAAAACTAATTTAGACTAACTTGCCCGCATAATGCTGCTGTTATAATTGGTTATTCTGATCAAAAACTTAATGGTAAGTGTCCCTGTTTTTGCTGTTACCATTAATGGATATATTTGTACAACAACAAAAACAGGGACACTGAAGTTCAGTTTATATACCAGATGGATATACGAAAGTATTTTGATAAATTGAGGGAGAAGCAGGAGAGTGGCAGGGGAGCTGACGCTGAGGGAGCGTGACTAAGACTGCTGGAGGTCTACAGGTAAAGAGATGATTTGTTTTGTTGTTGTCGTTTCTTTTTCTTCCTAGCAAATGGTCAGCTTAATTTTCTGTCTTTACTGGCTGTTGGCAAATAAACAAACAAGATAAGCATCCTGACATCCTAAAGGCTAAGGAAACCAAAGGCAGGGAATCATCCAGAGAAGCCAGTGAAATAAAGTGAGCCAGATAACATAGCAAAGATCAGATCTTTTTATCACTTAATGATGCTGAAAATTGATACATGCTTTTATTACTAGTGACCTTTACTATTGTAATTCCCATTTTACTGGTTTTCTGAAAACAGCTACTTATGAGTTACAATTCAGCATGCTGCTGCCAGAATATTAACAACTATAAAAAAACTAATCATATCACCCCAATCCTGTATGACCTCCACTGGCTACTTGTATTTTTTAGAATAGATTTTAAAATACTTTTACTTACATATAAAGCAATAATTGGCCTTACCTTTAACACACTCATTGGAAAGCTGCAATCTACCAGTTCTAGATATCTGAGTATTAAAAGGGTGAACCATAAATGCAGGAGTGAGGGAACTTTTAGCTATTATGCTCAAAAGGTATGGAACACACTGCCAGAGAACATCAGAGAAGCCAAGTCACTTAATACTTTAAAATGTTATTGAAAACATATATTTTTAGACTGTGCTATTATAATTCATTTTATTTCCTTGTTCTCTTATATCACTGTAGTATTTGCTTGTGTTCTTTTACTATGTATGTTTTTTTCTTTCTACCTTACTATCCTGTTGTTATATCTATAATATGAGGTGTTAATTAGCTTATACTTTTATATCTTTTGACCTTTTCATTCCTTTACATTTTATCTCATGTATTGTATTCCAATTTTTTAATTCAATTTTTATTTTACTTATTGTTTTTTTTCCACACTTTATTTTATTCTTTAGATTTATTTGTTCTTGGCTTGAACCACCAACTTTCCTATCAGAAATACATAGTCTTAGCCCACTGAACCACACACAACCCTCCATAATACCTCTAAATAATATTTTAAATTACCATGTCAGACTGATATACTTTCTAATGTAATGCTCTTACATAACACATTCTAAATGTAGAAAACCAGCTCATTTCCATTTTTTTGTGAAAGGTTCTAATTGAACTAGTTTCTTAGTAATAAAAATATAAGCATCCTCACTGATATGGCTACATAAAGTAAAAAAAAGGCTGGAAAATTGTGATTAAAACAACAAGGACTCCCATTATTGAAAGTAAATTGACTGGGAGTCCCATTGCTTCACATTCATAGCTTTTTAGTGGTACTTAGCTATTCTAACATATACACTCACCTAAAGGATTATTAGGAACACCATACTAATACGGTGTTTGACCCCCTTTCGCCTTCAGAACTGCC